GTGGTAGTCCAGTGTGGGGCGAGTGGCGCGAGCACTCCCGGCCCATTGTCCTTTCATCCGGCTCAGGAGCCCCGTTACCTCCTTGGTGGAGCCTCAGGCTGCTGGCTTAGGTCCGCGCGAATCCCATGATTCCTCATCCGAGCCCAACGCCGTCACTTCCTCGGAACCTCCCACACACAGACACACAAAAGAAAAGAAAAGACCATCACCTTCACTTTGGGCAGTTCTGTGCCCGGAAGGACTTTTTGTCTAGAGACATACTCGATTTGTCACCAAAATTTGCAGGAAGTAAGGGGACGGTGCTCCTGTTATACAGCGGGTGGAGGCCAAACCCGAGGCCGACGATCCTACAATGCACAGAGCAACATCCCAGCTTGATCCCTGAATCATCTGTCCTCTGATGTCGGTGGTGCCCAGACTGGGAGACCCTGATTGAAGGCGTTAAAGTCTCTGAAGTCTTGAATACACTGGAAATTGCTTAGAATTCTACGGAAGCCTTTCTACTTACCTCTCTAGGCGACAAGACAAGTGTAAAGCTTCTGGAATCATTGTGAAATCTCTCTCCAGCCAAGTGAGTTGGGCAAGTCAAATGCACACAGCATTGAGCTACTTTCTCCCAGTAAGGATCAGGTAGGTTGAATAAATCAGTTAACTCCAATCTCGGCCAACAGATGGAGTCATTTCACTTTATATCAGTAAATAATTTTGTTTAAGTACATGAATGATCTCTTTATCCAAGAACGGTGTCACTCCCTATATAAAATTACGCAAAAGAGATTATTTTTTAAAGAAAAGTGGTACTCAAGTTTTCAAGTTCAGATTTTCATTGATACCAGCCACAAGGCCCACCCATTCAAACTAGTCCATGTCTATGTGACTATATGAGTACTATGTGGAACTTGCAACAATGAGGTTTCAGTAGCCTCCCCTGTGTAGAATAACTGCTAATAGAATTTTCTGTGTTCACATTGTATTATCCTAGAGGAGTCACTAAATGTGAGAGTATTTTAAAACTTATTTATTTGGGAACAGGAGATGACATAGTGGTTACATCACTGGACTCCCACGTAGTCGACTGTGGTTCAAGTCCCAGACCTGGCAGCTTAAATCTCACACTAGGCATGTGTGTGTGTGAGTGCCCAAAATTCCCAAGGGGAGAATGGAGGAGAAGGGATTGCAGCATGGCCATCACCTCCCTGGGGGCGTGGGGGGGAGGTGATTTCTCATTTGCTGTCTCTGTCTCTGGCAAGCATACGTGTCCTATAGCAAAAATATATCTCTAAAAAATGTTATTTCTTCGATGATTTATATTCAGGGGAAATATCTTAATACACTCTAAAGTACATGTAACTGTGTGTGTAAATAAGCCAGTAAATTGAGATATATACAAATAAGCACACAAAATAAACACATAAACAGTAGGGCCAGCCTGGTAACCTAGTGGTTAAGGGAGCTGGATCTGATATGGCCCACTGTAGTTTGAATATTTGCACGAACAGGTTGAAAAACACGCTGGGCATCTGTACATGCATGCCCATTGTTCTGACTGGAAGGAGAAGTGGAGTAGAAAGGGTTGCAGCATGACCATGCCCCATTGAGGGTTGTTTTCTACCTCACCCCCTCTCTCTGTCTCTGGCAAGCATATACACCCTCTGGCAATTAAAAAAAATGCTATGTGACTATAGAGAAATAATACAGATTTTCTTATATGTTATTTAAAAATTCAAGATTTTATGTATAACTGCAGTTTTCAGGTGTGTATGTGAATTCTGGGGGGTTGCTATTATAACAACCACAGGGCCCCTGGCAACTATGCTGACTGGAGGGTGGGGATCTACAGTGGAAGAAGGGCTGGAGATTCCTGCTTAGCTCCAAGTAGCAGTGAGCAGTTAGACTGCTGAGAATGGCTAAGGAGAAAATCTGACATAAAGGAAAATATTTTCAGGGTTGGGTCAGCATCCAGGTTCAAGGAGAATATAAAGTTTTGCGGTGGACTTGAAGGCAGGCACCACCTCCTTGCTCTCCATTGATTCCTGTCCTGAATCCCTCCTTCTCCAGAGCCTGAAAACATGAAGATCTTCAAGTACATATTCCTTGAACAAGAGACCCAGGAGGAGATCAGGGTCAACTGATTCATTTCAGTACAAATTCCCAAAAAGATTGCTCCAGTTGCTTCACTTTCCATGATGAAATAATACCACAGTGAATAATCTTACATGGGTTTTTTTAGTATTTGTGTATCTTTGAGTTCAATTCCTAGAAATAGGATTGATA